CAGAGGGAGCCAGGCCCCAGCTGGTCCCGTGCCTGGCCACCTCCCTCCGGGCCTCAGAGGACAGATGTGAGTGAGCCCCACATGGGTTCTAAGGCACTAGCCTGCGGTGGGCCCTCTGGAGGGGTGGTGTGAGCATGGGAGGTGGGGGGTGAAGACGGAGGGAGGGGCTATGACAGTCATTGAAGGGACATGGTCCAAGTCTACAGCGAGCCCCGTGCTCCCCCCCCAGGCCCTGCCCAGACCCCGCTGAGCCTGGGAAACCCACGACAGTGACCCCAAGTGCTGGGGCTTGTCCCTGCGTTCATGTCCCCGTGCCCACAGCGCCCTGAGCCTCCGGGCGGGGCAACAGAGGAATGTCTGCAGTGAGGACTTTGGGGGGCAGGGAGGTGGAGTCAAGATTACTTCACTTCTCTCAGCCTGTTCCCTCCTGTTTCCCAGGGGCTGGGGGCTGTGGGGACACAGGAACCAGGAAAGGCCTGAGGGCCCCACGCCAACACTGACAGAGCGCCTGCCCCTACGAGACACCGAGACACCGTGCGGACTCCCTGCCCCGGGCCTCTCCCTGCGGAACCCCGCACATCGCATCGGCATAGACCCCGGGTCAGGACGCCCGAGGGCTCGGCCTGCCGCTCTGGGAGGACACACGTTTCTCACAGGAACGCAGCCCCGCCCAGCCTCACCCTTGTCCAGGAGCTGGTTGAAGAGCAGGGTGCTGGAGAAGAAGAAGAGGTAGGCCAGCACCTGGGACACAATCTCGGGGTGCACCTGGGCCTGCCGCAGGAGGTCCAGCGTGGCCTGGTAGATGGACACGACGCGGCGCAGCTCCTCGGGCAGCTGGGGGGCCTGGCACCAGCTCTCCCGGGGCTCCGTCTGGAAGGGGGGGCACTCCAGCAGGGCCGGGAGGCAGACGTACAGGGACTGGGGGAGAAGACACCAGCAGCGTTGGCAGGGCCAGGGCACAGGCCTCGGGGGGCGGTGTGTGGGGTGTTCCCTGGGGCTCCCACAGAGCTGCCTGGGCCTCTGGGGGCTCAGTACAAGCTCCTGTGAGAGGTGCAGGTGACATTGACCCGGGGGCACAAAGGATCTAGCGAAGGGCCCACAGACGCCCTGAGCATCGGGGGGCGGGGGGTGCCAGGGAGGTGGGACACGCGGGCGCACCTTGGAGACGTAGTACACGCACTGCTGGAAGGCGTACAGGATCACCTCCTCCAGCTCCGCCATGGCCTCCTCGCTGGCCGAGAGCGCGCAGGAGAACACGGACTCCGTGGAGCCTGCGGACACGCAGCTCAGTTACCACAGGGGCTCCCCTCGCTGCCGGGCCTCCCAGGAGCACAGGCCGCGCCCTCAGAGGCCCGCCCTGGACACGCCTGGACACGCGGCCCTTCCCCTTCGAGGGCTAGGCCTCCTGCCCCCAGGGGTCTCCCCAGAGCCGGGCCTTCAGGTTTCGGGGACCTGGCGGGGTCTCCTCAGCCTCCCCAGGCAGCGCGAGGGGCCCAGATCGGGGGCAGCAAGAGGCTCTAGGAGGCTGCCGGCTGCCGTGTTCGTCCTCCAGACGCTCAGGCCTCAGACTCGCAGCGGCCGCTGCTGCACGGAGCGCGCAGAACAGACATGTTTCACAGCCACTCGAGCCAGCCGGGCGCCGAGAAGCCAGCCGCAGGCCCCCCTCGGAGGGCGGGGCCCAGCCCGGGCCGCCTCGCTGCCAGCCACCCTCTGTGCGCCTGCGGCACCCACGGAGCACAACACGACAGCTCCCAGCAGACGCCCCCCCGGGCCCTGCCGTCACGGAAAACCTGCACACGCGCCTGTGCGGCGGCTCTGCTGGGGCCTCACACCCGGAGCCGTTGTGAGCTGTTCTGAGCATCAAGGCCCCGTCCCTCCCTCCCGTGCTGGCTCCCAAGGCCCGGGACCGAGGCCCCCTCTGAGCACCTGAGGAGCCCCCAGATCGACAGGCGCTGGGCAGAGCCGCAAAGACTTCCAGGAGGATGTGAGTGGGTGACACACACCCCCCAGCGGCTGCTCCCGGCCTGAGGGGATGAGGGCTCCGGGAAGAGCCTCGCACACAGACTGTGGGAACGACAGCGACTTCCCAGCTTCCGGGACAGGACGTCTCTGCTCAGAGTTCTTCCCACAGGCGCTTCCGCTGCGCTGGAGGCCGAGGCCGCCTGACCTCGCCTTCCCCTCTGACGCTGGTTTTCCTCTGAGCTCTCCAGAGCCTCCGCCGCTCGGGGCCCTGTCTGCTTCCCGCCCACCTGGCCCGCAGGGTGCACAGAGGCGACCCTCTCTCCGCACCCACCGGGCTACTCGCAGCTGGGCTGCCCCCCAGAACGAGCTTCCTCTGAGGCGGGAGGGGCAGCTAAGCTGTCGCCCCAGCTTCCCCAGAGAAAGCCGGACGCGGC